GGATCTAACCACCACTTCACAACACCCCATATAAAATATTAATAAAAAAGTAAAATATTTGAGGCCCCATCCTCAAAGTGATCTCAGGAAGGATTCCGCATTATCACTTGACATTGTAACCACCCTCTCAACATTGCCATTGGCCAGCCTTCCTCATTTCCTCTGCAATCAAAAGAGAAATTGCTTCCCAGACCTGTGGAGTTACTGGGGCTGTGGTAGCCAGAGGCAAGAATCTTATGGAGTTGAGGGGGAGCTGTAAGTTGCCTCAGATAATTCAGAAGTATGGTCTGGTGGCTTCATGGGCGGGTGAGAGACAAACAGCTGTGTGGGGAGAGATGCGTGCACAGGGAACAGAGTGCAGCCCCCCCTCCCGCAACCCGGGGCTTCCAGGGGCAAAGCACAAAGAGAGCAGAGACCAGGGAGCCACGGCAGACAGGGTGGACGCAGAAGGCAGCAGGACTAAGGGGCTGGGGACCACCCCCACTTGTTAGAAGCTGAGCTCCTCCCCACCCCCTGGGCTGCTGCTTGACGGGTTTCCATGCAATACTCCAGCCAGTCCTGGATTACTAAAGCTCTCTGAGGTGCCGGATCTAATCGGATTAGAGAACCAGTGTCCATCCAGGCGGAGCCATTTCCTAGACTGGGGACAGCCAGGACCCTGGGGCTCTCCGAGAAGCGACTGCCACTTCCAAAGGCCCCTCCCCTTAGGGCCATGTGCCGGGAAGAGCAACCGAACCTTATGGTCCCAATTCCCAGGGCCCTGCTCTGCCGCCTTCACTAGCGTGACCTGGGGAGAGTCGCTGCCCTTCAAATAACAGTTAGGGGATGAGACAGTGTTCGTGCGCAGCACTGATAAACACTGTTCCTGGTATCTTAGAGGCAAAAGCCTTACTTGCGGGAGAGCAGAGAATAAAAGGACTCACTCTCCTCTCCTCTTGGCCCCAGTTTCTCCATCTTAAGCCTGGGAGTGTGGACCACATAGCCAGGTTTTCTGTCTGTCTGGGAAACTGGTTTTCAAGCCCTTATGAGCCAATCTATAGTATTTCCTACCAAAAATTCCCCCAAAGTGACATCAACGGTAATGATGCTGTCAGCACCACCACCCCTCCTCTGTCTCGCCCTGATTGTCTCTCATCTTTACCGGGCTCCTGCTTGCCACTCCTGCAACACCCAGTGTTGTGATGACCTGTTCGCACCTGTCTGTTCCCTGCTAGACGATGAGCTCTGGTTCTGAGGCCTCTTGTCCTTCATGACTTCAGGGCTGTCTGGCCTAGGTCACGGCACACGTGGAAACTGTCCACTGAGGTAACCAGCAGGTCACTTGCCAGTGGCGGGCAGCCCTCCAGAGTCCGGGCCGCTGTCCTCCCCAGGCCACCCCCACTGCCCTGAGCAGCGCCGCCGGGATCAGTACCTGCACTGACACCACGCCCCTCGGGAGACTTCCAGCACGGCATCTGGCATGTGAGCGGCAGTCAAACAGCATTTATTAAATGTGTTAATTAATGAATGCTATACTGAGAGGAGGGTCAGAGAGGAAGGGACAAGTGGCCTCCGACTCTATTTCTGTCCTAAAGCTGGGCATGGGGGCGGATGCAACATTTTTACCACGAAACCAAAACAATGTGAACAATGGGACCGGCTTCTGCCTGGTGTGGCTGACACTTGAGTGTTCACCACCTGCCAGGCCTGATGCCAACCAAGTGCTTTTGACCCATTATGTCCTCTCATCCTCACTCTGTAGTTTACTTTTATGACCCCCATTTTACAGAGGAAGAAACTGAGGCTCTAGAAGGTGAAGTCATGTGCCCAAGGTCACACAGGCCTGGCTCCAGAGCCCCAGCCTTTCTCCCTGGGCTCCAACCCCAGACACTGGGACGAGGCAACAACAGG